GCTCTTCCAAATACAGTAAAAACATCAAAACAGGGTTTTTTAAAATAATGTTAAATTTTGTACGCAAATTGCTGACCATGAAAATGTGATGGTTACAGTCTGACCTACTTTTTTGTGCCATTTAGCTGGATTAGAAGAAATTACCTTACTGCAGTATGACATCCGAATCCTCTTCCTCTTTGTTCCTTTGTATTGCAGCTTGACGAAACTAAGATGGAGGTTTCAAATCCAGACTAAACAGTCACACTAGATTTTTATGAATAAATAAAGATTGCTTTAAAAAATATCAAGTACAAAAGTTTTATAAAGGTCTGCTGTTCTACTTGATCATGGAACTTAATTTTTCCTCTCCTGCATTTATTGTACTCAGTCTTCTGCTTCTGGTCAAGCACTTTTTGAGTCCACAGCCTCCCTGGCACGCAGAAGAAGTGGTGCCTAGACAGCCGGACACTTGTCCAGGGTCTGTTTTCATGCTGCTTGCACTGCTCCCGTGACTATGGGAATGTCGTTTGATTTGGCTCAGGCTATCAGCAGTATTCGCAAGGCATATATAGTGCTAAAAGTGATCTATGCTGCAGATAGTGATTTAGCAATAGGAATCAGTAGTCCCTGGACCTAAAAGCAAGGTTGCAGTGGTGACTTCATAAAACGAAACTTTGACATTGAAATGAAATGTTTTCTCAAAATCCTAGGTCTGTGTTTCTTGGAATATCAGGCTGAGTAATCAGAAATTCTTCCTAGCAATACAGAAAGACAAATAGAGCATAGGATGCTGTCCTGGAACTTGCAGGTTGAGTGCTGAGTCTTCTGTATGATTCATTGGTTATTTTAATTTTCCTTCTTTAAAAGGAGCTTTGTTACACTTCCTTATTTGACAATGGGTGGATGTAGGGATAAATACAGTGCAGGCTGTGGTTCTTAGATACTGTGGCATTCAAGCACATGAGCAACTAAGATAAGCCTTTTTTTGGAACAGCTTGCGACTTCTTTAGTCAGTAACTCCTCTCTGCAGTTGCCTGCTAGATTGCTTCCAAGCCTCCCAGAATCGTGGCAGTGCCTGTAGCGACTAAGCACTTCCATTGACTACACAGCACTGGCTCTGTCCTGAAATGAGTAGGTCCTGCAGAGAAGAGCTTACTGTTGCATTTGAAGACTGTTGCAGTTCAAGGAGAGTAGCCTAGCAGTAGCTCCTTCATTATGGTGTTCTGACAGGTACATATGCTCTGGTTTGAGTACTTTGATGTCCAATGCTTGATTTGCATCTCTTGGGCCTCACTTCTAACTATGATGCTTGTATTTTTTGCTTTTGTATAGAATATGTATGTTAGCAAAGGGTGATACTTCACTTTCACAAGAAGTAGAAAAGGTTGTTAAACAAAATCAGAACGCTTTATGTAATTGATATAGATCCCCTAATTTGAGCAGTTTTAGGCTAGACTACTCAACTTCCTAAAGTATTTGAAGTTACCCAGTAATATCACTAACGTAGAGTTGCATCAAACCATCTCTGGTTTTATCTGAGGCTGGAATACTTTACACAGATTGTGTGTGCATTGTCTTTCACAAAATACAGATGATTGCTGTGCTTGTGGACAAGATGATTCGGACACAAATTGTTGACTGTGCTGCAGTAGCAAACTGGATCTTCTCTTCAGAGCTTGCACATGATTTTACTAGGTAACAGGCATTTGTCTTGGGATGTTATTTGTCTCTGAATTACTATTTTAAGTGGCCAGAACATAGTTTAATCTTTGCATAGTGGAAGAAAAAGGTACAACTGAGCTTTTTCTCCTTCTACAAAATATCTAATTAGGATTTTTCTTTCTCGGTTGGGGTATGAATGTTTACGTGCCAGTGCAAGAACATTGCTAGCCTGTCATTTTGCAAGTAGTCTCCGAGCCTGCCAAAGCAGAACAACACTGGAACTACTTCTAGAAAAAGTCTGTTGCTGTGTGTTACATAGCTGCCAGCTTAGTGTGGTCCTGGTCTTTGTTGAGCTGTGTAACTTGTACCACCATTGATACATTGCTTATTGAGAACAGGAGAAGTGTTTGGTCTGAGAAATCAATTTGATGTTGGTAGTCTTGCAATATGTGTCTGAAATACAATGCTGGTTTGGAAGTGTACTGGGAAGAATAGGAAAGAAATTATTGCTATGCTTTCTTACATTACAGATATGATTTCCTTTAAATTCCCCCAGATACATTGTTTTGTGAAAAACTACATTTAGTTTTCTGTCTTGGAGTAATGTGTAAGGTAGTGTTTTGAGGTTTGTGTCTTTCCTAGGTTTTATATCTGGGAGATCTTACATTCTACGATTCGAAAGATGAACAAGCATGTTCTGAAGATTCACAGAGAACTGGAGGAGACTAAGGCAAGATTGGCCAGGCAGCACAAAAGAGTGAGTAACTTGTTTGTAATTTTTAATTATTTTAAGCTAAGTTATGCAAACCTGCATGCTGTCAGACTGACGCAGTTGGTTTTGGGAAGGACTGAATTAACGCGTTTATCAGGAAGCATGTCTGCAGACGTGTGGTCATATGTAAGACTAAGACATCAAAAACTGGATGCGTGTTCTCAGTATACCTTTCTAATGGTAGCTTAAGAATTCAGTGAAATCTTTAATGGAATTCATATGTGTTTACTCTGTTCAAGCTCTCACAAGTTTCTCTTACAATACAAGCAGGTCTTCCACTTGCTTTTTAATCTGGATTCCAATTACCTTATTAGATACAATAAGAACAGTTACAAATTATTTATAGTAAGTTCTGTTAAAGAGTACTCTTGTGGCTTCCATGCAGAAGTGCACGGAAACAGCTATTTGTTATTGAAAAGTTGGCTGTTACTGTTCTTCTGATGGGTGCTGCTGGATTCTGACACTGGCATCTGTCGCTTTCTTCTTCCATCTTATTTTTCTGAATACTTTTGCATTATCTGATTTGCTATATACAACAAACTGATGAGCAAGCAACTTCTGGTGTGTTCTGTTGTCCCAACTGGGACAGTAAAATAGGGTGAGAGATTTATCTTTTGTGGCAGCTGCAAAAGGTGGGGCCCAAGGAAGCTTGGTGATAGAATGAAGCCAGTTCATAAACATGTTGAGAGCTGCAGAGAGCAAGAGAGAATTTCTCTTTGTATGTAGTCTGTGAGTATTATTGCCTGCATAAAACCCTTAGCTATCTCCAAAACTTTGGATGAAGTTCGTATAAGAATTTGGGACATGGAACAGAGGCTGCTGATGTTTTTTGAAGAAACCTGCACAAGTCAGTCATTTTTCCAGAAGTTTCTATTGAGAGATCACTAATACCTCACTGTTTGCCAGCGTTGGTCCATCCCAGCCTCTTCATCTTGTTTCTTTCACTCCCAGCAACAGCCATCCTAGTTGCTTACATCCTCAATCTGCGTTGTTCAGCAGTTAACAGATGCCCATGATTATTGAAGACCTAGATGCAGTCATTGATCTTACTGTGAGGCAAAGAGCTTCTCTGGCATTTCTAAACAAATATACCAGGGTTTTCACTTCTGTACTTGTCTCTTGCTGCAGCTCTCTATTACTGAGTACTTTAAATTAGTATTGTGCCAGGAAGAAACATTTGTATGCAACAGTGGGTGTTTCTGCAGGCTGTTGCTCTGCTAAATGACCATTCCTTTCAGAGGGAGTAAGCCATCAAGTTTTGATGTCCCCAGCATGAAGTGGATTGCCTTACTACGGAATGAGTCCAAAGCTTACATGCTTTCTCTTAGGTCCTATTGGTCCTTTAGAGTTTTGAGTTCAGGAAACTTCTGTAGATGGGCAAAAAGCAAGTTCCTATAGAGAGAATAAAGTTAAATTCTCACTTGCTCTGGTAAGTTGTTTTTATTTTTTACGCTGATTCAGAGCTGTAACTATCCTCTGATTGTGAGTTTCATTTGCTGTGCAGTAAGTGAGTTAACACTTGGCCCTATATTTGTCACAAGTTGCACATGCTCCTTTTACAAATATCTGAAGTTTTGAGCTGTTAAATTACGAGTATTTTTGCACAGAAACAATCCCATGAGACTGAAGTAATATCTGTCTTTGAATGTACCGTAAGCCATGAGATTCTGCCTTTCCTCCTATATCCCTTGTAGTCTTGTGTAAGACTTTGTTACCTGAGCTCCCAAGTCTGGTACTTAGGTGTATTCTGTGATTTTTGTTGTTGTGTTTCCTTGCTTTTGAGGCAATGAGGACATGACATGTTCCTAGTTAGTAGTTTGGTTTTCGTGCTCACGCTTTCTAGTCGGAGAGCATCCCTTTTGATCGTGAATATAGGGAGTCCCCACTTTAATACCATGGGCTACAATCTCTAGTCTTCCTTTTGTGCTAACCAGACGGATTAATCTGAGTTGTTGCACAAAGTGCTTTATTTCTTGGAGCCCTGAGATTTCAGAATGTTCATTGAATGAATTACCTGCCCTGCTGCAGTAGACACAATTTAAAAAATCTATGCCAGATTTTTTTTAAAAAGCTGTTCATTATCTGGTAATGATAAAGTCAGCAGGGGTGACACCTTTTACTGTGTTTCCACTAAAGAATGGATTAGTAAATCTTTAAGCTTGCTCTGGTTTCTCTGAAATCTTGATTTTTCTTCAGGGCTTTCCCATATTGGCTTTTTCCTTCCAAATTTCTTTCCTGAATTATATTCAAAGTAAACGTGGTTCAAAATACAAAACTTACCAAGCTACAGAGCAGCTTTAGTTGCTGCTTTGCAGTTGCTCTGCAGACCTTTTCACTTGTGGAACTGGAGGGCATTAACAGTATCCACAAGTAGCCAGGTTGCTAGTTAGTCTTCTGTTGTCACAGCGAGACAGTGACGATGACGATGACGATGACGACCGAAGCAGCGATCGGGAAGATGGACCACTAGAAGAGCAGATAGAGCGCTTGCAGGAAAAAGTAGAGTCAGCCCAGAGTGAGCAAAAGAATCTCTTCCTTGTTATATTCCAGGTAATAATGGGCAAATTATCTTCTCACTTTCAGGTTTTAAAGTTACTGGATTTATAAGCTTTCAGTGTCACTTGTATCTCAGGCATCTTCTTGGAATAAGAATATGGGAAGGGGTTGATGGCTTTACTATGGGTAAGAGTCAGTACAGATCATCCCCCTGCAAAGACTGCTTCTGAGCAGGATCTGTTTAGTTCCATGTGCTCAGGAACAGAGGAATTCTGCTAGCATACAGTTTCCTGAACAAGAAGAAGGTAACTGGATTTTATGTGCTTACTAAATTCAGTGTTTGCCAAGCAAAAGAATTATTCTTACTTTGCTGTTTAAAGCTTCTGTCCCCCAGATCCTCTCACCTGAGGTTAGGATCCTGCTTTTATGTGATGAGACCAAATAAGTATTTTTTTTTTCCTCTCCTGCAGCGTTTCATTATGTTGTTAACTGAGCACTTAGTGCGCTGTGAGACTGGTGGAATTGATGTATTTACACCTTGGTACAAGAGCTGTATAGAGAGGTTGCAGCAAATATTCCTGCAGGTAAGTTTAATTTCTCAGTGTGGGCTGTGGGCAGGAACATGCTGTACAGAGATTTGTGGCTGGAGAACTGAGCACTCCATGAGAACAGCAGTAGGTGGCAGCAGCACATCTCTGAAAACTAGTGTGTGGCTAGGTTATAACTCTGGTCCTGGCCGCATCCCCGACACAGACTGGTGGAGTGACTGGTCCTTGATAAATTCCCACACTGTGAGCATACTGCAAAAAGATAATGCAATGTGATTATGGATTTCGCTGAGTTCATCTCAACTATGTGTTTATAGTAAGGGCAAGGTTGTGAGCAAACCAAGAATATTAAAATATATGTTTTTTAATAAGCAGATTAAAATATTGCATAATTCCTTTTAATAAGATGGGTAATTATCTATTAAAAATAATTTTTTAATTCTTGGCTCTATATTAAATCAAGTAACAAGCACAGGTGGCTGGATGAAAGTGATAGTAATAGAAAATCACACCTGTGTGAGCAGAAGATATGTTGAAGAATGGGAGTGGTACAATTGTGCCCTGGGCTAAGCCCTTCCCTGGTAGTAGATGTAGCTTCAGAGGAAGGCAAATACCATGATTTTCCTAGGGTATCTCTGCAGTTGCATGTTATCCTGCCCACAGTTCAGGGTCAGGAGTGAAGAGCTACAGGGAGCACAGTACTTCTGAAGACAGGATTTCACCATATGCTTTATTCTTGCAACCAGTAGTGGCTCTGCATTATGCTTTTCTTGTCAGTTGCTACTGTGTTATGGAAATGAGATGATTAAAATATTGACCTGTGATTCTTCATGTCTTGACTTCTCTGCCTGTTCTTATATGAATGAAAATAATAAAGGTTTGTGGTTTGTTTTTGTTTTTTATCTGCCAGCATCACCAGATAATCCAGCAGTACATGGTGACCCTAGAGAACCTCCTGTTTACAGCTGAACTGGACCACCACATACTGGCTGTGTTTCAGCAGTTCTGTGCTCTGCAGGCCTGAGGATTATTCACAGGCAGAGTCTTGTCTGCAGGACTTCACTGATTTTTTTTTTTTTAATGCGAAAACTTGACATGGGGATAGAAGAAATTTTTGACTAAAACTGGCTTTCATGTGCTTCTATATAAAACAATACAATACTCTAACAAACAGCAAACTCTGTAAGCATCATAAGCCTTACAAGATATGACTGATAGGGGATAGATGTGAAGTAAAGTATGGATTCTCTTTGTTGTCTTTTAGTTTGGTTTGACTCTTGACTTCCTGATAGTATTTTTTTGTTTCTCCTGGTTTTTTTATAAAAATAAAAATAAAAATTGGGCAAAAAACCCAACCAACCAAAAAAAAAAAACCAAAAAGCCCCCAAACAGTAGAGTTTTTTACCTCTGCCTGGCACTTAAGTCAAAGGAACTGCAGAAATGAGAAACAATTCATAGTGTTTTGTAAGTATGAAAGGGAATGCACGTTCTCAGTGAGCAGTGTGGTAACCTCTCTAGTATGGCACAGCAAAAAAGTGTTTCAACCTTTGGCATGTTAAACACCTGAGTTAAGCTTTTCGAAGTAGTATAGGGCATATGAATTTGTTTATTACCAAGCCAGCTAGATTTTCACAGTTTGAAAGAACATTGTTGTAATACAATTGAAATACATTTTTTCAATGTATTGTCTAATGTCTTATTACAGTAGCTGTAAGCAATCAGTATAGGAACTTTGTGAACAACTTCTGAAAAATGCAATCCTTTTTGCAGTATGGTCAAAGAATCATTAACTGCTCCTGGCAGCAGACTTCACTGGTAAATAGAGAAAGTAAGCAAGAGATGGAGTGGAACAAACTGTGGAATTCCGTACTGCGAGCCTTACCTGGGTATTGGGAACTCCAGCCCCAGATGCCAGGGGAGAGGACAGGACAGTGTTCAGCTTGTTCCTTTATTTCAGCCTGTAAGCTGGCAAGCTTATGCTGGGCTGCCCTGCAGGCCTGCAGTGATGCCAGAAATCTTTCTGGTAGTGGTGGATGAACCAAGTGCCCTCACCTCATCTGGCCTAGTAACAACTGCTTTGCAGTGCCTGCGTCTGCTACCCTTCCCTTGCTTTAAAATGTGACAACAGCACATGGCTCCCATGTCTTCAGAAAGCATTTTAATGCTAAGTTAAGTGATATTTCACAGGAGACTGGAGAAACACAACCTGAAAACAGAGGAGCCTTGGTTTTGAGTTATGCAAATAACATTACATACATAAACGTCAAACCAGAGTGGTCTGTGTTATGGCAAGCCATTATGAATGGCAAAGACACTGCCTTAGGTGCTCAGGTCCGTCTGTGTGCAGTGTATTTCCAAGTTGTTCATGGTCTCTTCATTTTGCAGATTAATGTTTTGAAGAATTTCATACCCAGTGCTATTCAGTTGAAGCTTCGAAGGTGATGAGCTTTGAGTAATTTTGTTCCTGTACAAATTATTCTTTTCAAGTATTATACGTAGTAATGCATTTCATCCATGTGTTGACCAACTGACCTCCTGATCAAGAGAGGAGGGTAAAAAGATGAACTTTCTACTTTGAGCGTTGGTGTAAGTTTGTGTGTGGCCCATAGGAATCTGATATATCCTCATAGATTTAGATGTTACTTCTGCTTTCTCTGTTTACCCTTCTTGATTTGGTCGATTCCCTACATTCTTTCAGGGTATAGTGTTAGCTGTTGTAAATTTGCTTCACGCAAGGGTTTTGTCAGTCATGCACAGACTTCTGCTTCAGATATTTCTCTGTTAATGTTCTTGAGTAATTGAGTAGTTGTTTGGGGTTTTTTTTTTAAGAAACATTTAATACTGTAGAGGTTTTAATTGGGGGTTCAGTAGGTTTTTTACTGGCTTGGATCAGTATCAGAGTTCTGATATTAACTAATGGTGGAGGTCTGACTATAGATGTGACTTCTGTAAAAATGATAATGCAGTTAAAACTTGCAAACCTGTAACTTCCTCTGAGCCTTGACAAATACGGGTGCTGGGGATCCAGTTGCAAATGCCTGAGTGTAATCATGTGATTTAAAACCAAATAGTGTCTTTCAAAACTGATAGGACTTCCATGGTGAGCATGAGCTTTGATTACATTTCTTGAGTCTGTTGGACACCTCCCCCTCTTTGTAGGTCCAGTGGTGTGCACCTGACTTGACTGGGAAACTGATTGGATCTTGAGGAAAGAAAATGAGATGCTTGCATAGTGATACCAGCAGCTGCCTGGAGCAACTTGGAACTGCATGAGGTGGCAGATAGTGTAAAGATGCTGTAGAAATGTGGTGTGGCTGGAAAAAAATGCACAAAGACAAAAATAAATGAAGGTGAAGCAGGTTGCTACTGGAAGTGTTTGTTGTGCCTGTTTTGGGGGAGGGGAGAAGGGCCCTGAAGCAAAGCAGTCATGACAGGGTTATGTTGGTGCTAAAAGCAGTTGGGTTTGGATCAGTTTCATGTCCCCTGCCCTGTTGCTGGTACCCTGACTAACCCAAGCCTTCACCTCCCTTGCCCTGCAGGCTTCCCCCGCCTGCACAGCCAAGTGAGGCAAGCGCGTGGGCTGCTGGGCACCAGCAGGGTGCTGATGTGGAAATTCTCCCTCTCCCTTGCCACGTCCTCTCTTACGAGCAGTGCTGCTACAGGAGATGAGTCAGGGTGGGGTGGGGATGCTTGCTGAAGGGTGGCTGCTGCAGCCTGCCCACAGGTAAGTGAGTCCGCAGCCAGTGCACACCACCCAGCTGGCCAGGAGAGGAGTTTTGGGACCCAAGAGTGTCCACCAGGTCACAGAACTATGATGCAGAGCACTGCCTCCAAAAGCTCTGCCGGGACCTGCCTCCTGCCCTCCATCCAACCCCACATGC